TGCAGTAGGAGACCGGGACATGGAGTGAAGCCTGAGACCAGACCCTGCAGGGTCCTGTAGGTGTGATAAGGAGCTGAGGGTATCTATTCAGAGAACACGGAGAAGCCAGGAGGGGGCTCAAGAGAGAGCGACAGCATCAGTGGAGAAGGGCAGGAGAGTGGGAGTGGGAGAAAGGGAGTTCGGGGGGCTCTGCTACAGCTCAGGGCTTTGCATGGAGCTTTGCACTTGGAGGGGTCTCAGCGAATGTTTGATGAAATGCAAGGCTGAGCCGCTCTCATGGGGCTCCGGTGGAAGACTATATACAATCATCCGATGACCTTTCGGAGGAAGCCGGGCTGCGAGGACCGAGCCCCTTGCACGAATTTCGTGCATTGGGCCTCTAGTATATATATATATATATATATGTATGTATTACATGTAAATGTACTACTAACAATGCATGACTACTAACTACATATTTGATTGACTGGACACCTTATTTTCTGGCCAAAATGAATAATGGTTTCCCTCAGTAAATGATTTTTGTTCTGGGCTGCTTCCCTTAACTTTATCAGGCCTTTCTCTGTGGGGAGCACCAAAAGGCTAACTTCCTTCAACTGCTTCTCATTCTTTACTCCCCTTTTCTCTCTCCTCCCCTCCCCCCTTCCTTCCCCTCTGTACCTCTCTGTCTCTCTCTTCCTCCAAATAATCCCATTTAATAAAGTTCATTATTTCATACAGTCTCCATTTCTATTAACTGTGACATTAATTCTTAACCTTTGGCTTTAAGTCTCTGCAGATGTAATCAGAGGAAACAGAATTACACTTCGTGAACTAGGTGATTTTTAAAGTGGATCTTTAGTTAAATGCTATCAAAATGCAGAAAATAAAAATGTTGCCAAGCACATTCACTCCTTTGTTAATGTCACCATCCTGCCTTCACTTATACGTTTCATGGGAAAAATTCAAATTTCAAAGGTGATTTATACAAAACGTTGTGTGTATGTGTGTGCATGTTATTCATAATCTGAAATCATGAGACACTGAACATATTTTTAAGAGATGAAAACTGGAGACTCATATTCACACATCTGATCATCAGTGTGATCTCACGTGTAGCCAGTGTAAATATATTATTACAGAACACACAAAGAAATACAATATGATATTTACCAGTCAGCAAGTTTAGATTTATGGAGCTGCAGAAAGCAATACAAGAAAGAAGTCTAGGAAGTCTAAAACCCAGGCCATAAATTACTCTCTAAGAATATGTTGTAGCCCTAGCCGGTATGGCTCAGTGGATAGAACCTGGCCTGCGGACTGAAGGGCCCCAGTTCGGGGGCACATGCCTGGGTTGCAGGCTCTATCTCTAGTTGGGGGCATCCAGGAGGCAGCCAATCAATGATTCTCTCTCATCATTGATGTTTCTATCTCTCTCTCCTTCTCCCTTCCTCTCTGAAATCAACAAAAATATATTAAAAAGAAAAAGCATATGTTGTAAACAGTCACAATTATACCCTTTTCCCTCTTGTATTCCTTTATATAAAAATCTTGAAATCCTTGCTCATCCCTTTCTTCAACCAGCAATTAAAGAAACAAGAAACTAGATATCTAAGATGTCACACAACCTTTTACACCCAGTATTTTCATTTTCTTCAAAATGAATCTTCAGTAGTTGGTGAGGGTTATGCTTTGAAGGCCCCTGGGGGTGCAGATCCGTTCATTGGGTTTTTTAAAAAAATATATATTTTATTGATTTTTTTACAGAGAGGAGGGAGAGGGATAGAGAGTTAGAAACACTGATGAGAGAGAAACATCAATCAGCTGCCTCCTGCACACCCCCCACTGGGGATGTGCCCGCAACCAAGGCACATGCCCTTGACTGGAATCGAACCTGGGACCCTTCAGTCCACAGGCCAATACTTTGTCCACTGAGCCAAACCAGTCAGGGCTGTTCATTGGGTTTTCCATTTCCACTCTGGTGTCCCCTTTTACTTTCACCAAGCCCCCCCAAACCCCTCGCCCTGCGTTCTGGCAGGATCCGAGACATGCAAATTGCAAACTGGTAAATAGCAACTTTGCATATTTTGAATAGAAGAGAACAGCGGTACCACTCATTCCGTTCACGGGGAAATCTGAGATAATGGGAGTGAGAGCAAGGGCAGGCCGAGGGTCCTGCATGTTTTCTTCAAAGTGTTTATTATGCTTATTAAACCTATTGTACAGTGATGAATTAATTTGAATTATTTACATGGTCAACCTTTGAGACAATAACCTGATTTAATCAGAGGATGCAAATGTATCGTTTCTCTTTGAAATCTAAAAACAGACTTAAATTGGAAGAAGCTTCAGGACTTGTATTGTTTCTTACAAATATTGGTTACAAACCTGCAGGTGTCAGGTTAAATGGCATAATGTCAGAGGTCAGGAGAATGTGGAGATGTGTTTCTTATAAAAGTCCATAAACTCCCCCATGAGAACATGTCCCCTGGACAGCCAACTTGGGTGACAAATATCTCAGGTAAAAAGTCTTTCAATTCCATTTATTGGTAAATATCCTGCATTGTCTGACATGAGGGTGTTTGTCTGCTAAAATTTCAGTGTAGAGGAAAATAACTAGTAAGAATGGTTGGGTTCTCATTCGATCATGGGCCAGGTGTCATTTTAGTGAATGTGTGGACTGGTAAGAATTCTTTAGCTTTACTACTGAAGCGTGAGAATCTAAGGTTGATGTCAAGCTCAAAGTATTATAATCCGATTATTTAAAATATCTAGGTTTCCTTCTGACTTTGAAAAAATCGGAAATTGTTGTTCAAGCCCACCTTACGTTGGGCTATTATTTTTTCTTGGTGTTTGGATGTTTACAGGGAATTTTTGAGAAAGGTAAAATCTTGTGTGTTTAGACAGAGAGGCACGAGTGATTCTGAAAGTGGAGTCTTTTTGAGGTAAAGGGAACAGCTTGCATCTTGAATATTTTATGAGATCTGAGTATCAGAACAGCGATTTTCAACCCGTGTGCCATGGGACTTTTTAAAACATGTAATACCTATTTAGTCAGGGGCACTGACCTCTTTTCCTTTTAGACTGTCAAATTAAAAATTGACAACAGCCAGCACAATAATTGCCTTCAGGTGTGATTAATTCAAAATTATACCTATTTTTTGTTAATCCCCTCACCTCTTCCATTCAGTCCCCCAGTGCTCCTCCCCTTTGACAGCTGTCAGTCTGTTCCATGCATCCATGCCTCTGTTGCTATTTTGTTCATCAGCTGATTTTGGTCACAGACAACAGTGAGGTGATAGCCAGAGGGAAAGGGGGTGAGGGGTGAGGTGGAGGTGGGCAAAGGGGGAGAAAATGGGGATGGAAAGAGACTTTGCTTGGGGCTATGGGTGCACAATGCAGCGTGCAGATGTTTTATTGAGTTGTACAATTGAAACCTGTATGCTTTTGCAAACCAATGTTACCCTAATACATTCAATACAAATTATAACTAATTTTTGTCAGGTTGGCAAAAAAAAAAAATAATAATACATTTCTGGTGTGCCTCAGAATTTTAGTCATTAGTTTGTGTGCCATGAAATGAAAAAGGTTGAAAATGGCTGTCCTGGAACAATGTTTCTGATGCAGGAACATAGCAATCAAGGAGCAAAAGGGAGATGGAGCCAAAGACAAACTGAAATATTTTCAAAATATTAAGTGAGCCTAACGCTGAAAACAGGAAATGATGGTGATACTGCAGATTGTTCCTAGTAAGGGCCTTAAAAGCTTAATGATTTATTGATTGAATCTGCACTAATGATGTGCCCCTGAATATGCATGTATAAATAAGAGGGCTTCTTTAAGAAGGTTCAATCATGTCTTTCAGATATATTTGGCTCGAGTCTATATATTCAAAATAAATGGGATGGTTGAGGCAATTATCTGAATATGTCAGGGCTGGAACCCCCACCTGATTTGGAGGAAGGCTAGTATGTCAGGTGAAAAGGTAAAACAAAAAAAGGGGGAGGAAACTCTACATGGAGTCAGGGGAAAACAAAAGAGAGAGAAACCTGAAAACCGCCACTGTTAAGAAATATCTCTCCCCTCCCCCTTCCAACTTCTCTTACCCTAAAAGGAGAAAAATAGATTCCCAGGAGCCACCAGGGAGCAGTGTTTCCTTGAAAAGAAGAAGAAAGAAAGAGAGAGAAAAAAAGTTGTCCTGTTAAATCAGCTACACATGGAGTCTGTCTGTGTGAGGAAATCAGCCTTTTCATTACAAATAGGTTTAAAAAGCTCCAGAGAAGAGAGACGTGAACAGAAGCAATATTATCCACTAACAACCCAACTCCCTTTTAGACATCAGCTGAGAGAAGATCAGCAGCAGCATTGAACAGGGGGTTTGTCTGAAGATAAAGACTCATCTTTTCTTCTTTCAGGATATAAAACTTGTATTTAAACCAATTCAGAGAAGCACGTTAGCTTTAAACATTAGAGAGCGGGGAGAGCCTATTTAATAAAACAGCATTATTTCATTTTCAAAGAACGATACTGGCAGTAGCTCTGAGCTTAAATTCTGTATTCTTTCCCTCAATTATAATTATAGATGGGTCTGAAAGGAAGCATGCCTATTACTGTCATATTTATTCTTTTGACAGGTGTTTTGGGACTGTAATTTAATGGAATGACTCAAAACGCAATTTCCCATCCAAATATAATTCCTGTCATCAGCCCGAGTGGTTTCGGAAAGTTCTCAAGTCAGCCTTTTCACAGATCTTGAACGCCCCTGATGTTTTAACATCAACCCACGTTCAGGACTATGGGGGGAGAGCCTGCCTTCAGGGCTTATATCCGAGGCGGCAACAGCCAGAAGGAGGGGTGGGTGTTTAAGGTAAGAAGGGTGTCAGTGGAACGGCTTTCTTTTTCAACTGAGTGGGGCGGATTGGGGAAGGGGCACCCAGTAGGTATGGCAGGTTGGACCCCAAGTCCCGCGCGCGGCCGACAGAGGGCGCTCGGCACGCAGCGGCCAGGCGGGGGCGGGGCTGCGCAGATGCGGAGACGCAGGCGCACTCGGGGCCCCGCGTCCGCCCGGGCCGGGGTTGACGTTTCCCAGTGGAGGCGGGTGAGCGCGCGGCGTGGGCGGAGGGAGGGGGGCCGGGCGGGCGCGCAGGGCCGGGAGCCGCTGGGGTGGAGGGCGGGCTGGGGATGTGAGGCCTCGGGTGCCCTCGGCTTTGCGTGGCCTGGGAAGACCTTGCGGCGACTGGCGCCGCTCCGTTCCCCTCCCCGCCCGTTGTCGTGCCTCGGGAGGGCCGGGTGCCCCGGACGCCCAGGCCCGCAGCAGGCCTCGCGGGCGCGGCGCGGAGCAGCGGGGCAGGCCCGGGGGCCCGCAGGGAGCCCGGGGTCTCCGGACGCCTCCGCGGAGCCTGGCCGCGGGCCCACTAGGGAAATGTTCATTGTCTGGCGCGCACACCTGCGGGGTCAGCCCCCGATCGCCCGTTTTAACAGGTGGATGTGGTCCCTCCGCGGGCCCCTCTGTCTGGAGCACGCGGGAGCGAGCTTGCCTGGAGTGACCTTCCCTGGAGTGACCTTCCCATTTTGATTTCTGCTGCCGAAGGACGGATCAGATCACTCCGTGGCTGAGGCCCCTTAGCCCTTAAGACTAATCTTTTGTTCGCTTTTACATTGCATACAACTCACCCCTTTAAAACGCACAATTGAATGCCCTTTAGTACATTCACAGATGGGAGCATCATCCATCACCATAGTCAGTTTTGGAACATTTTCATGACTCCCAGAGCAACTCCTCTTTTAGCTCTCATCACCCCAACCGCCCCTTCCCTCCAGCCCTAGCCAGCACTGAGCTACTTTGTGTCTCTATAGATTTGCCTATTCTGCACATTTCGCATAAATGGAATCATACAATATTTGGTATTAGCTTTTTTCACCTAGAGTGATGTTTTCAAGGTTCACCCATGTTATAGCATGTATCAGTAGTTCATTTCTTTTTAATTATAAATTAACCCATTGTATGAAGGTACCATGTTTTGTTTATCCATCGGTAAATGTCAAGCCTTTCAGCTTTGGTCCCAGGGCTGAATTCAGAGCCACATACGTATTAGCTGCTCTGAATGGCGGTGTATGGGTGACTGACACGGCTTGCTGGCTTTAATCTCTCTCTTTGTACCCTATTTGTACCTGGTATGTGATTGTGCTGTTGTTGTGCTGAATTGAGTTGAATTGGATAACAGACAGGATCAGGCACCCCAGAGATTGTGGCACACCCCAGTGACTCTGGACGGAACTAGTAAAGATGGGGAAAGAGACTTAAGAATAGTTCATGGAAAACAAAAAAGAATAGTTCATGGAAATAAAGGTACCTTCCAGCTGAATGCCAGGGCCAGGTAAGCTAAAACAGAGAATGCTAAGTTGCATTCCTTGAATTCCCAAGTAGAAAGGTGACATTGCCATCCGAGGCATGTTTTCAAGGTTCACCCATGTCGTAGCAGGTACCAGTGCCCACAGAGCTGGCCAGAACACAAGCAAACCGTGATTTTGAGGCTGGGATCAATAATGAGGGCGTGTGTGTGTCCAGAGTGGGTTGGGGAAGCACTGGGAGGTCATAGCAGGATGGTTATCTTGGAAAGGAAACTACTGAATGGCTGGGGCAACTGATTAAATAATGAAAGTCTGGACTTGGGGATAGGTCACCAGAGACTTTAGCTCCAAAAGGCAGAGGTCAGACTAATATGTAGAATGTTTCAGAGCAGATTTTAGCCCAGAACCAAAAGGAATTTCTGACAGCTCGGGCTGCCAAGGATGTGGAGGAGAGATTTCCTCACACTGGATGGGAGGAGGTGGCTCTCGGCTCTTCGATATTCTGGTTTTGAAAGACTGCCTGCATGGGACTGTTTTTCTGTTCATTCAGTTAACACTGTTTCCTGAGAGCCTACTGTGGGGCAAGCCGCACTCCCTGGCGTGTTTTTATAACTTTCTAATTCATGAAAGGGGACAGGATGACTAACCAGAGCTCAGTTCTGAGTTGGGAAAGAGCTAAATAAATTTCGCCTGATCTTTTGTTTGATTTAAAAGGAAAAAGATATATATTTTTCTCCTTGATGTATGCAGAGCTAACTTGAATCCATGAACTCCACAAAGCTCTCCCAGTCTCACTTTGCCATAGTACTTATGAAATTGTGGGATTTTTCTCATTACACATGAAAATAAACATAAAATCATTACAATAAAAAGACGTTGGTCCCTATACTGCTTAAAATAATTGCATGCTTGTCCCACATTTTGGGGAAAGTTGTCAGGAGTGATAGGGGGGTAAAGGAGGCTGTTAGGGGTTTTAGGCAGGAACGCGACATGCTGAGGGTCACATTTGGAAAGATTCACTCTGGCTGTTGAGTGAAGAATAGCTCGGAAGATAGGGAGACCTGCTGGGAACTCTGGGAGTTGTCCCTGTGAGCTAAGATACGAGCCTTAACCAAGGCTCTTACAATGGAAATAGGAGGGGACAGATTTGATGGGCATTTAGGTGTAGGATTTGGTAGGACTTAGAGACCAGTGACATAGGAGTGGAGGGAGGAGGAGGAGTCTGGCTCTGGGATGGTTTTGGTTTGGTTGCCTAGGACCGTGGTCGGCAAACTGCGGCTCGCGAGCCACATGCGGCTCTTTGGCCCCTTGAGTGTGGCTCTTCCTAAGCCTTAGGAGGACCCTAATTAAGTTGATAACAATGTACCTACCTATATAGTTTAAGCTTAAAAAATTTGGCTCTCAAAAGAAATTTCAGTCGTTGTACTGTTGATATTTGGCTCGGTTGACTAATGAGTTTGCCGACCACTGGCTAGAAGATGGTGATGTTTTCACAGAGGCAGGGAGCCCAGGTCGAGGGGTCAAGTCCAAGGAGTAAGGATGTGCCAAGCGAGCATTCCCAGGGCCACGGGGTTTGACTACAATTTTAGCAATGATGCTGTGAGGTTCACTGCCCCTTAAATCATAGCAAACCCACACTTTAAATTAAATTGAGATATTTTTAGCTTAACTCTTCTGAGTGGACCCACACATGCCTTCTCTGCCAGTTATTACTGGGAAGGACTGAGAATGATAATTGAGCTGAAAATAGTCTCCCGCCCATACTTGCTGGGTTGGTTTCTAAGTATTGCTTGGGTTTTTAAGTAATGAAACTAAGTTGTGCTCTTTCCAAATGTTAATTTTGAAGACTGCAGCTGGTAACCATCTGTTACACCACTAGCATTTTACAATATTTGATTAGCACTTTATATAGTTTGGGGAAGCCGGCCAGTAGAATCTGCCCATCAGGTTGCGGGCTTCAGTGGTATGTCCTCTCCGGTGGTACTTGAAGGTCTTTGCCCCCATTGTATGGGGTTCCCCTCAGTGTGGCTGGTGGGACTGGCAGGTTGATATTTGGGGCACGAGGACCTTGGGGAACCCCGCCCTGTTTGCACTCTTCCTTAGAGCTGGAACCATCACAGCTCATCATGGAAGTAGAATTTGGGAGATTAAGATTTTTCGATTCGTTTCAACTGTTTTGGCTGCAAGTGACAAAACAAACCCAAGCTGCTTTGGCAAATGGGATTAATTGTCTTGGATCATTGCAAAGTCTAGGGGTGGGACTGCCTTCAGGTGAATGGTTTTAGGGCTCAAGTGAATTCTTCAGACTTGGTTTTACGCAGGTTCTCAGCTCTGTCTTTTGTGGCTTCAGTCTCCGGCTTCAAGAGGAGGCAAGATGGCTTCCCTGAGAGAGGGTGAGTCCTCTCACCATCAGGTCTAGTCACTCCTGTGGACGTGTTGAGATTCACCCAGCTTCCTTCATGTGCCCAGCTGTGAACCAATCCCTGCCACCACGTGGATGCAGGTCTCTGATTGGCCAGACTTGGAGTGGAGCTCCACCCAGACCTTGTGGGCTATGACCTGGCCTCACGGGATCATCAGCCACACATCTGGGGCTGTTACCAGATGGGTGGTGGGGGCAGACAACCACCTACCTACCCACCCCAGAGTCAGAGCGAGAGCCCGGAGCACCAGGAGCAAATGGGAAACTTTGCTGTGGAGATAGACATTTTTGTTGCCAGGAAGATATGCTGGAAATGGAATGAAGGAGCCTCTGAAACTAGCTACTTACTGAGTTTCTTTTCTCAGTTTAAGGACCTCTGATCGATTGAAAACCAAGGCCAGTCACTTAATCTTGGTCTTTTAGCTCCTTCATTTGGAGCACAGTGAGCTTCTCTGTCACAGAGGGGAAATCTGGACGGAGGAGATAACAGATCCCATTCAGTCCAGTTCAGTAAACAGGGCACGAAGCATTGGGGCCTGGGCCAGGCTGCCCAGGCCTGGCAGCGCATGAATCCTGGCAATGTGGGAAGCACTGTACCAGCTCCATAAACAGGGTGCTGCTCGCCCCACCCCCCGCCCCACCGGAGGGACAGTCAGGAAGGGCTTCCCAGAAGAAGTGACATCGAGCTGGGCCTGGCAGGATAAACATGAGTTCCTCACATGGAGAGGGGAAGGGAGCTCCACGCTCAGGCAGCTGCATGTGCAAAGGCACCAAGAGGTGACTGACTTGTGGTTTGGGGGATCTGGGAGAAGGTCCTTGTGGAGGAGACTGGGACATGACGGGCGGAGGCAGGAACACAGGCAAGATGCTGTGGCAGAGGTCCAGGCAGGAGCCTACAGGGCAGTGAGCATAGAGGAGGTACTGTTATGGGCTGGGAGGCACTTAATGGAAGCTTAACAAATCCTTATGTTCTAGATTCTATTATTGGGGGGGTAGGGGGGGCTGGAATCTGTGCTCTTAGTTGAGTTTCCTTCTTCAAAAAATAAGAGGCCAAATTAGAGTTACAGGTTCTTTGGAGAGAGACATGATTATACAGAGCTTAAAAATATGGGTTCTGCAGACACAAAGGAGTACATGACGTATGATTCCTTTTATGTAAAACTCAGGAAAATGCAAACTAATCTGTAGTGACAGGAAGCAGAGCTTGCTTTGGGATGGGGGAGTGGCGAGGGCAGAAGGAGGGATTACAAAGAGGCTGCAGGAAATTTGTGTGAGTGATGGAGATGTTCACTCTTTTGCTTTTGATGATGGTTTCTTAGGTGTATACATATGTCGAAACTTATCAAAGTGCACACTTTAAATATGTTGATTGTATGTTAATTACATATCAATAAAGCTCTAAAGGTTTAATAAAAAGAAGAGGTGGACTCTGGAACCTGTCTGGGTTCAAATCCCAGCTCTATCCTTATCAGATCTCTCTGTGCTGATTTTCTTTCTTTTCTTCTTTTTGGTGCTTGATTTTTAAAAAATGTGTGCATTAATCACACAAAAAGCGAATAGGACAGAATAAGAGCTCATTATTATTTTATTTATTTATTAATCCTCACCTGAGGATATGTTTATTGATGAGAGAGAGAGAGAGAGAGAGAGAGAGAGAGAGAGAGAGAGAGAAAGAAAACAGAGAAACATTGATTGCTTGCTTCCTGTATGTGCCTTGACTGGGGATCGAACCCAGTTATGTGCCCTGATTGGGAATTGAACCTGCCACCTTTTGGTTTATGGGGCAACACTTTAACCAAGTGAGCCACCCTGCCAGGGCAAGAGCTCATTATTATTCCTATTTCTAACATACAGGAAAGTGAAATCTCGTGTATCATGACAACTTTTTATGTAGCTGCTTCTTTACGCAGAGTCCTCTGGAATCGTGTTTCTCAAACTTTAACTGCATGTGAATCTCCTGGACCTCTTGTTACAACGCGGGTTCTGTCTAGTAGGTCTGGGGCGGGGCCTGAGAATCTGCATTTCTAACAAACTCTCAGGTGATGACGATGCTTCCGGCTACCCTTTGAGTAGCCAGGCTCGAAACTTTCATCCTGCCCTCTGTTGCTTGAGGTTAGATGATTCCTCAGCAATCGTGAAACGTGTTTCCTGCTTGTCTCTCCTCCTCCGCCTGTCAGTGGCTCCTCCTTGCCCGCCACCTGGAGTTGGTGTTCAGAAAGAAGATGAGGCTGAACATCTCACTTGTGTTCCTTGTCGCCTGCTCTGGGCTGAGAGCCTGCAAGACTGAATGCACAGCCAGAGCTCAGGGTCTGGGTTCCGAGGGGTGTGGTATAACCGCGACCTGGCCTCTGTGCTGTTATCAAGCCTCCTTCACAGAGCGCTGGAACCCGGGGGCCGGGACTGGGCATTGGCTTGATGCCTTAGACGTGATGCTCTGTGTTTTCCAGGGACAGACAGCCTTGCAGATGGCCCCGCTCCCGGGGGCAGAGCTGGTCCAGACGCCTCTGCAGCTCTACAGATACCTGCTGCGCTGTTGCCGACAGCTGCCCACCAAGGGCATCCAGGAGCATTACAGACACGCTGTCAGGCAGGTGCGAGCAGGGGATGCTGGGCCTGGGGGTGGGGAGATTCCTCTAATAGAGGGCCTATCAGAGGGTCAGGGGTCAGGGGCAGGAACGGGGGCAGGGATGGTCTTTCAGGCAGTGGGGGTGGCAGCTTAGTAAGAGCCACTGGGTATCAGTGCTGGGCAGCCCAGCTCTTCTCTCTGGTTTTTGTTGAGGAAACAGAGGATGGATGTGCCATCCAGCCCCCCAGCTCTGTGCCAAGCCTTGAAATAGGCAGCCAAATGGATAATTAAAATAGGCACATCCTCATTGTGACAGAGGTCTCTGTCGACAAAGCACACCTGACTTTAACCGTGAGCAAACATCAGGTAAGCCCAGACCGAGGGACCGTCCACCACATAACGGCCTGTTCTTGTCAAACACATCGATGTCGGGAAACACAGAGGAAGGCACCAGAGCTGCTCTGGTTTACAGGTGTGACTGCGAAATGATTCCAGATGGGATCCTGGACCAGAGAAACAATTCTCATAAAGGACATTGTTGGGGGAAATTCATGAAGTTGGCATTTGGGCTGTGAATTCTATAGATACACTAGTACTGTATCCATGTTAAATGTTCTGAATTTGAGTACTGTTGTTATTAAGAGAATGCCCTTGTTGTTAGGAAATACACACCCAAGTGTTTGGGGGTGAAGGGCTTGTCTGCAACTTTTAAGTGCTCCCAAGAGTTTAATGCAAACCCATGAAGAGAGAATAGTGAAGCCAAAGTGGCAAAATGTTAACACCTGGTGATTCTGAAGGCCATTCTCTTGTATTATTCTTGCAGTTTTTCTACAGGTTAGAAATGATTTCCAAATAAAAAGTTAAAAACTAAAATTAGAATCCCAGCAACAACACAGCACTGATAACTCTTACGCAGCCAGCTCTGGGCAGTGAACTTCCACTGGACAGAGAGGCCCTATAGCCTCAGAGGCCAACCCCAGAACACTGCCACCCAGAGGCTGACCCACAAACTGACTCTTTGCTAAACACAAAATAAGGCAGTCTGGGAAACAAATGCGGCTTGCTTTAAAATAAGGACTGTGGTTTATAACACAGAGGAACAGTGTATCGCAGGGAAACTCAACACTCTCCTGAATACCTGGCAGGTCTAAGGCGAGCCACACTGAAGAATAGAAGAACCGAAGGACCTTCACTACTGCAATATTTTTTTTTTCTTTTTTCACCTTTTAACTAAGAAACCAATTTTTTTTTCTCTTTTTTTTTTTCTTTTTTTTCTTTTCTTCTTCTTTTTTTTCTTTTTTTTTTCTTCTTTTTTCCATCACCTGATTTTACCCTTTTAATTACTACCTTCTTATTTTTAACCAGTATTATTACTGCTACCATTTTACCATTTTTTTTTTAAAGTGCCATTTTATTTTCTCTTTATTTTATTTTGGGATTAGTGTTCTCCATTCTATTTTCATCGTTATATTATTGGTTGTTTCTAGTTTGCATTCATCTCCAGGGAGCTGTTGCTGGAATTTGTTGGGATTAATGGCTGTTCTATAGGAGTATTCTCCTCATATAAAAAAGTCTCTTCCCCTCTTCCACTTCATTCTCTCTTTTCGCTCTTTTTTTTTCTTTTCTTTTCTTTTCTCGCTTTTATTCCCCCCCCCCCCTCCTTTTTCCCAATTTCATTTTTGCACTCCTTTTTTTGGTCCCTAATTTTCTTTTCTTTTTTCTCTTTTCTCTTTTTCTCTTCCTTCTTCCTTATCCCCTAATTCTCTTAATTCAGGTGGTCACCTTTATTTGGGGTTATTCATATCGTGAATATATTTGTGTATAGTGCCTGGTACGTGGTGCCTTGTTGTGTTGTATTTTGTGCCTTTAAATCAACGCAGCAGATCCAAGCAACAGCAACCTCCTGAGCACCACACCCTCTGCTGAGGAACAGCAGCTGTACGTGAAACCTTGCCCCACCAGCCAGAAGAGCCACCACAGCTGTGAACAGCACCCACCAGAGGAGCTGCTGCCAACTGAAGAGCAGCTGCTACCGCAACCGCCCGAAGAGCAACCACAGACCAAGGAGTCACTGCCACCAAGGGAGCAGCCACTGAACGACTCAACGTCTAGATATGTCAGCGAGATCAAACATGGGTAGACAAAGAAACCCCCAAAGGAAAGAGAAGGAGGACTCTCCAGAAAAGCAGCTAAGTAATACAGAGGCATGCAACATGACAGAAAAAGAATTCAGAATAAGGGTCCTAGAGTGCATAAACCGGATGGAGGAAAAAATCGACAACCTCTCCAAGAAGCTAGAAGAAACAGATGAAAAAATCAACAACTTAAGTAAGACCCAAGAAGAAATGAAGAGTGATATAGCTGCAATGAAAAACTCCATTGAAAGTATCAACAGTAGACTAGGAGAAGCGGAGGACCGAATTAGTGATTTAGAAGACAAGGAAGCAAAACACACCCAAAACGTACTGCAATTGGAGAAAAAAATGAAAAGACAGGAGGAGAGCCTAAGGGAGCTTTGGGACAACATGAAACGAAACAACATACGAATAATAGGGGTACCAGAACAACAGAAGGATGAACAAGGATTAGAAAACCTATTAGAAGAAATAATATCAGAAAACTTCCCTGAGGTGGCGAAGAAAAAAGTCACACAAGCCCAGAGAGTCCCAAACAAGGTGAACCCAAAAAGACCCACACCAAGACACATCATAATTACCATGGCAAATGTTCAGGACAAAGAGAGAATCTTACAGGCTGCAAGAGAGAGACGGAAAGTTACATACAAGGGATCTCCCATTAGATTGTCAAATGATTTCTCAACAGAAACACATCAGGCCAGAAAAGAATGGACGGAAATTTACAAAGTGATGCAAAGCAAAGGACTGAATCCAAGAATACTCTATCCAGCAAGGCTATCATTCAAACTTGAAGGGGAAATAAGAAGCTTCACAGACAAAAAAAGGCTAAGGGAGTTTATCACCACCAAGCCAGCAATGCAAGGAATGCTAAAGGGACTGGTATAAAAATAAGAAATAAAAAGCTCAGAAAGAAAACAGCCACACAAAAACAGAAATGCCTACAAACAAGTACCTTTCAATAATAACTTTAAACGTAAACGGACTAAATGCTCCAAACAAAAGACATCGAGTGGCTGAATGGATAAAAAAACATGACCCATACATCTGCTGTCTACAAGAAACCCACCTCATTAGAAGGGACTCACACAGACTGAAAGTGAAAGGATGGAAAAATATCTTTCAGGCAAATGGAAAGGAAAAGAAAGCTGGGGTAGCAATACTTATATCGGACAAAATAGACCTCAAAGTGAAGGCCATAACAAGAGATAAGGAAGGCCACTTCATAATACTAAAGGGATCAATACAACAAGAAGATATAACCCTGGTAAACATATATGCACCCAATGCAGGAGCACCCAAATTCATAAAAAAACTCCTGGAGGATATCAAAGGAGAGATCGACAACAATACAATCATTGTAGGGGACTTTAATACACCACTGACAGCACTGGATAAGTCTTCTAGACAAATAATCAGCAAAGATACAGCAATCCTAAATGACTCACTAGATCAGATGGACTTAATAGACATCTTCAGAACACTTCACCCGAAAGCCAGGGAATATACATTCTACTCAAATGCTCATAGGACATATTCAAAAATAGACCATATATTGGGTCACAAGCAAAGTATCCCCAAATTCAAGAAGATTGAAATCATAAAAAGCGTCTTCGCAGACCACGATGGCATAATATTAGAAATAAACTACAATAAAAACAACCCAAAATACTCAAACACCTGGAAGCTGAATAGCATGCTATTAAATATTGATTGGGTTACCAATGAAATCAAAGAAGAAATTCGAAACATCCTGGAAACTAATGACAATGAAAACACAACAATCCAAAACCTATGGGACACAATGAAAGCAGTCCTGAGAGGGAAGTTTATAGCTCTACAGGCCTATCTCAACAAACAAGAAAAAATGGTAGTAAATCAGCTAACTCTACAACTCAAAGAATTAGAAAGAGAGCAACAAGAAAACCCCAGAGTGAGCAGAAGGAAGGAGATAATAAAGATTAGAGCAGAAATAAATGACATAGAGACCAAAAAAACAATACAGAAAATCAATGAAACCAAGAGCTGGTTCTTTGAAAGGATAAACAAGATTGACAAACCTCTAGCCAGACTCACCAAGAAGCAAAGAGAGAGGACCCAAATAAACAAAATCAGAAACGATAGAGGCGAAATAACAACAGACCCCACAGAAATACAAATGATTGTTAAAAAATACTATGGACAGCTCTACTCCAACAAACTAGACAACCTGGAGGAAATGGACAAATTCCTAGAAAAATACAACATTCCAAAACTCAATCAGGAAGAATCTAAAAATCTCAACAGGCCAATAACTATGGAAGAAATTGAAGCAGTCATCAAAAAGCTTCCAGCAAACAAAAGCCCAGGACCAGACGGCTTCACAGGGGAGTTTTACCAAACATTCAAGGAAGAACTGAAACCTATCCTCCTCAGACTACTACAAAAAATTCAAGAGGAAGGAACACTTCCAAGCTCATTCTATGAAGCCAGCATCACCCTAATACCAAAACCAGGTAAAGACAACACAATGAAAGAGAATTACAGGCCAATATCCCTCATGAACATAGATGCCAAAATCCTCAACAAAATCTTAGCAAATCGGATCCAGCAGTACATCAGAAAGATCATACACCATGACCAAGTAGGATTTATCCCAGGGATGCAAGGATGGTACAATATCCGCAAATCAATAAACGTGATACATCACATAAACAAATTGAAAGAAAAAAACCACATGGTCATATCAATTGATGCAGAAAAAGCATTTGACAAAATTCAACACCCATTTTTGATAAAAGCTCTCAGCAAGGTGGGAGTAGAAGGATCATACCTCAACATAATAAAAGCCATATATGACAGGCCCACAGCCAACATCATACTCAATGGACAAAAACTAACACCATTCCCCCTAAGAACAGGAACAAGACAGGGATGCCCCCTCTCACCACTCCTCTTCAACATAGTACTGGAAGTGTTAGCCATTGCAATTCGGCAAGAAGAAGAAATAAAAGGCATCCAAATTGGAAAAGAGGAAGTAAAACTGTCCTTATTTGCAGACGACATGATATTATACATACAAAACCCTAGAGACTCCATCCAAAAGCTACTGGACTTAATACATGAATTTGGCAATGTAGCAGGATACAAAATTAACCCCAAGAAATCCGAGGCATTTCTATACACCAATAGTGAACTTTCAGAAAGAGAGATTATAAAAACAATCCCGTTTACCATCGCACCAAAAAAATTAAGCTACCTAGGAATAAACTTAACTAAAGAGGTAAAAGACCTCTACTCAGAAAACTACAGGACGTTGAAAAATGATATAGAGGAAGACATAAACAGATGGAAGAACATACCGTGTTCATGGATTGGTAGAATCAACATCATTAAAATGTCCATACTACCCAAAGCAATCTATAAATTCAATGCACTTCCCATTAAAATACCAATGGCATACTTCAGAGATCTAGAACGAACTCTCCAAAAATTCATCTGGAATAAAAAAAGACCCCGAATAGCTGCAGCAATCCTGAAAAAGACCAAAGTAGGTGGGATCTCAATACCAGATATCAAGATGTATTACAAAGCCACTGTTCTCAAAACTGCCTGGTACTGGCACAAGAATAGGCATATAGATCAATGGAATAGAATAGAGAGCCCAGAAATCGGCCCGAACCAATATGCTCAATTAATATTTGACAAAGGAGGCAAGAACATACAATGGAGCCAAGATAGTCTCTTCAATAAATGGTGTTGGGAAAATTGGACAGATATATGCAAGAAAATGAAACTAGACCACCAACTTACACCATACACAAAAATAAACTCAAAATGGATAAAGGACTTAAATGTACGACAGGAAACCATAAAAATTCTAGAAGAATCCAAAGGCAACAAAATCTCAGACATATGCCGAAGCAATTTCTTCACTGATACAGCTCCTAGGGCACTTGAAACGAAAGAGAAAATGAACAAATGGGACTACATCAAAATAAAAAGCTTCTGCACAGCAAAAGAAACCATCAACAAAACAACGAGAAAACCCACTGTGTGGGAAAACATATTTGCCAATGTCATATCTGATAAGGGCCTAATCTCCAAAATTTATAGGGAACTCATACAACTTAACAAAAGGAAGATAAACAATCCAATCAAAAAATGGGCAAAGGACCTAAATAGACACCTTTCAAAAGAGGACATTCAGAAAGCCAAGAGACATATGAAAACATGCTCAAAGTCACTAATCATCCGAGAGATGCAAATCAAAACAACAATGAGGTACCATCTCACACCTGTCAGACTGGCTATCATCAACAAATCAACAAACGACAAGTGCTGGAGAGGATGTGGAGAAAAAGGAACACTTGTGCACTGCTGGTGGGAATGCAGACTGGTGCAGCCACTATGGAAGACAGTATGGAGTTTCCTTAAAAAACTGAAAATGGAACTCCCATTTGACCCTGTGATCCCACTTCTAGGAATATATCCCAAGAAACCAGAAACACCAATCAGAAAGGATATATGCACCCCTATGTTCATAGCAGCACAATTCACCATAGCTAAGATCTGGAAACAGCCTAAGTGCCCATCAGTAGATGAATGGATTAGAAAACAGTGGTACATCTACACGATGGAATACTATGCTGCTCTAAAAAGGAAGGAACTCTTACCATTTGCAACGTCATGGATGGAACTGGAGAGCATTATGCTAAGTGAAATAAGCCAGTCAATGAAGGAAAAATACCACATGATCTCACTCATTCATGGATAATAGAGACCATTATAAACTTTTGAACAATAATAGATACAGAGGCAGAGCTGCCTCAAACAGATTGTCAAACTGCAGCAGGAAGGCCGGGGAGGGTTGCGGGGCAGGAGGTAGGGGGGTAAGAGATCAACTAAAGGACTTGTATGCATGCATATAAGCATAACCAGTGGACATAAGACATTGGGGGATAGGGGAGGCTAGGGGACTGTCTAGGGCGGGGGGATAAAATGGACACATATGTAATACCCTTTGTAATACTTTAAGCAATAAAAATTAAAAAAACAAAAAACAAACAAAAAAAAAACTAAAAAAAAAAAAAAAAAAAAAAAAAAAAAAAAAAGAAATAGTTAAATCCATATGATTATGTTGAAAAATTAGTATATTAAAGCTTTGGACTTTTATCTGTAAAAAAAAAAAAAAAAAAAAAAAAAAAAAAAAAAAAAAAAACTAAAATTAATACAAATATAATGTGGAAACTGGAAACGATAGAGGAAGCAACAGAGGGCTGTGGAAACATGGAGAAGGGAGCAGTCAGTTGTGTGAGGGAGTCGGGGAGGACTGCCCAGAGGTGAGCACTTGAGATGCTCCTAAAGACAAGGAGGGTGTGTGGGGTCCAGAGCAACAGGGCAGAGGAGGCACAGTGGCCGAGTGTCCTGAGTGAACCTGAGTCTCACGCTGCTCCTCGAGGGGGAACATCCGGCCAGAAGCAAACAGCAGCCTGGGCTCTGCGCTGGGCGTGGCTGGATTTGCCACAGCACCCTCCCACGGCCCTTCCTCCTCTGCCTGGCTCTCCAGCACGGGCCGGAGAAGCCCTATTCTTCCCGGTTGTGAAGCCATGCAGACATCTCCCCCTAGTGAGCAGCTTCCTGGGAGGAGCAAATGAAACAGTGATGGAAATTTCCCTTAGGCCCTCCATCACCCTTCCCCCCACCTGATAACCTTTGGGTCCAGCTTGATTTGGGTGGTAACTTAGGGACCAGTCTTCCATTTCATAACTGCCCTGCTGGCAAGAGTATGTGCTATGCAGTTGAATGGACCAGAATTCAAATGCTGACGCCATTGCTTAGCACAGCGGTTCTCAACCTGTGGGTCGCGACCCCTTTGGCGGTCAAAGGACCCTTTCACAGGGGTCGCCTAAGACCATCCTGCATATCAGATATTTACATTACGATTCATAACAGTAGCAACATTACAGTTATGAAGTAGCAATGAAAATAATTTTATGGTTGGGTCACAACATGAGGAACTGTATTTAAAGGGCCAGAAGGTTGAGAACCACTGGCTTAGCAGCAGTTCTCCTCATCTCTATGTGGAATCATAACTCTTATGGAGGGTAAGAGAGATGCTGAGTATAAAGTGCCCACAGTGTGCCTGGCCTGTGGTGCTCTGAAGCTGCTGGTCCTGTGAGTTTTGCCACCATCTTCTTTTTATGCTTAAACTTTCAGAGTTTCCGGGTTCATTCAGATGAAGACAATCCTGAGAGAATCCAGCAGATTATTAAAAGAGCCATTGAAGATGCTGACTGGATCATGAACAAAGTAAGTGCTTGGCTCCTACCTATACCTGTGAGCTGTAATCTCTATGACCAGCAGGGGTCGCTTCTGCTCCACATTGAGAACAGTCTCGCTGCTCCCCACCTCTAGGAGCCAAAAGGTGATGGCAGATGCCCTTCTGATTGTATTTGTGTGTTTGTTGTGTTTGATGGGACAGGGAGACACCCTCAATCCCTAAAGACACATTTCTTTTTTTGTTAATTCTCACCCGAGGATATTTTCCCCCTTGATTTTTAGAGAGGGGAAGATGGGAGGGGAGGGGGGGCCGAGAAAGAGAAAGGGAGAGGGAGAGAGAAACATCAATGGGAGAGTGAGATGGCGCAGCAGGAAGAAGGAAGAGAGCAGTCTTACTGGAAACAATATGACAAAGCTGACAACAGTGTTGTGAAGAAAGAGCTGCCGTGGGGGTGGGTAGTGAGCTCTGTCTCTGCAGGTATTCCCACTGAGGCAGGTTAGTGAGGAAACCTTCAAGTGTCTGTTTTGGTGGAGAAAGAGAGTCAGTAACATAGACTGGCCTGCTGGTCCGTACACTTTGGTTAGAAAACCTAGAGACCGAAAACATGCCCTATTCCTCTGTCCTCCTAAGTCAGAAACCCCCGTTATTGGGCCCAGGATTCGTTTTTTTAAACTCAGTGATTGGATTAGATGGCTTTTGAGGTTCCGCCTCTACCTGAGGTTTTTCCTCCCTCCAAACAAGGCTCATCTTAAAGGGAATGATGGACATGCCACTGTGTTTAATTCTAGTTCCCCAGTGTCTTTCTTATCCTTTCTCCCAACCCCATCAGCCACCTTTTCCACTAAAGAAGAAAGTGGGGATCCAGGCACCAGCTGGATTCAGCAGTCTGGGCTCCACCACTTTCAAGAATCCCCTGCGGGGGGCATCTGAGGCCTAGATGACCACCGTTCTCAGCCTTCCCTGGTCCTCCCTCTCGCATTGGCTGTCCTCACCCGCTTCTAATGACCTCTCTGTCTTGCAGTATAAAAAGCAAAACTGAGACTCAAAGAGTGAAGCCGCTCTGAAGACCCTGAAGGTGAGAGGCCTCCCTGGAAGGAACCAGCAGCAGCTCTGGACTCTCATTGTCCTGCTGGTGGGGAGCAGGACCCCGGGTGTGGGAGCAGCTGACGTTTGCTCCAATGGCTCTTCTCAGGCTGCTTGTGTCCCTGGTGACCTTTATGTTTGCTTTTCCAGGCGGTTATGATGTGAGATTTGGGGAGAATGTGTTTTTTCACTTTTCTCTGAAAGTGATTCATTTATTCTGGACGTTATTCTTTGAGACCCGAGTGGGCGTCCCCTCAGATGGCGGCCTGTATGGAGAACAGGGCATGGGTGTCAGAACCAGACAGATCTGGATTTGAATCCCAGCTCAGCGGCTTTTCAAGGGCGTTGACTTTGAGCTTGGTTTCCTCTCTTGTGAGAATTAAATAAGATGAAGTCAAAGAGCCTAACGCAGGACATGGTACCTGGTGGTGCCGGTAGATGACTCTCTGAGGAAGCCGCCCTCCCCGCTCCCTCCTCTGCTCCCACAGGGCTCCGCGTATCTCTCTCTAGCCCATGGCACCTTGGTTCGTTTGCTTGTGGACTTGTCTTGTCCCTACTCATCGCCACTGTCCCCTTCCCCCAGGCCCCTGAGCCTTCACAGTTGCACTGCGCCCAGCAGTCTGCCAAGCACCTGTGCTTCCCGCCCAGAGAAGCAGATGCCCTGGTCTTTGCCTTCATGGGTCTCTGCCGTCACAGAGTCCCGGAGTCCTGAGTGGTGAAATGCAGCCTGCATGAAACAAGGAGGAATGCCGAGCACCTCCAGTAGTGCTCACGTGTTTAGGCTTCTGTGAACCTGCCATCTGTCTTGACTGTCCCTTCCCTCCTTTGCCACCATCTCAGAAGGAGGGGAGGAGGGAAGCCAGCAAGCAGTCCTGTGGATTTTCATGAGCCTGAAATTGGTGGAGAAAGACAGACCCAGCTCGCATCGCAATTCTGCTTGGATTATGGTTGGGTAACTTACCTCGCCTCTTTCAGCCTCACTTTCCCCATCTGTCCAATGGGGTAATGGCCGTACCTACCTCGAGAGCTGTGGTGAGGAATAATGAGGTCTAATGCATGCCAAGTGTCACCCAGAGCCTGGCATGGGGAGCTGGCTGCATGGGGAGCTGGCTGCACGGCCAGCCCGTGGTTACCAGCTACAACTATTAGGGAGCCCTGCTTTGCAAGTGGGAGATGGAAGCTCGGAGAGGTTGAGCCTCTTTTCAGGGTCACAAAGCTGCTAAGCCAGGTCTGTCTGAATCTACCAAACAGCACAGATTTGGGAGGGAAAGGAGAGCATCAGGGAAAGAGGGAAGGAAGGAGAATGGGAGGGAGGGAGGGAGGGAGGGAGGGAGGGAAGAGGGATAAGGAAGGAGGAGAGCAGCAGGGAAGGATCAGGGGGAACTGGCCAGAGCAGGTGGAAACCAGAGGCCACACCGGGACTTGAGTACCTCCGAGGACTCAGCCAGAGGGACGAGCCAGCATGTGTTTATGTGCTGGCAATTACATGGCTTAAAGTGGCTGAGCTACATCTATGTGCATTCGACTGATCAGCAGACAGTGAAGTAAATACATCACATTGTGAAAGCTTGGTGTCTTCTTGCCACTTGTTGTTCCCTACTGTGTGCTAACTTTCATACTAGGTGTTGTAGACAAAAAAGGGGCCACGTGCTAACCTGACAAGCTCAGGGAAGGCCTGAATGGCGGTCTTACACACTCAAAGACCTAAAGTAACCACAAAGGATGGTCTGAAATGAAAACCTTAACTGCCCTTGTAGTTTGGCGCAGTGGATAGAGCATCCGCCTGTGGACAACAGGGTCCCAGGTTCGATTCCGGTCAAGGACACGTACCTTGGTTGCAGGCTCCTCCCCAGCCTGGGCCCTGCTCGGGTGTGTGCAGGAGGCAACCATTCAATGTGTTAACCATTCAATGTGTTACTCTCACATTGATGTTTCTCTTTCTCTCTTCCACTCTCCCTAAAAAACTAATGGAAAAATATCCTCAGGTGAGGATTAACAACAACAACAAAAGAAAAAAAAAACAAAAAAGAAAGAAAGAAAAAAACCTTTTAACTAAAAGCAGTTATAGTGGATAGTCACGTCCTAGGCTGGTATCTTCCCTGACAAAGGTCAATCTTTACCTTAACGAAGCCTGTTTGTTGTCATTTGCATCTATGATAACATATCATTGGAATGTCAGGGTAATTTGTAATTTCCCTTTTTCTGGACCCTTCAGGGCACAACCAATGGGTCAGGGTGCCAGGACAGGAGACCACAAATTCCTTCATTGTTATTGTTATCTTGTTAATTGTTGACTGTTAACTATCCTGTACCCACCTATGTAAAAGAAGTGTCTATCATTTTACTTATTATCCAATCCCAGAGGTTTGCCCGCTTTGCTTCCTCCCACCTCCCTAATCTATCACCATGGATTTCATGTAACCCACTTAAGTATTTCCCTTTGATTATAATGAATAAAACAAGGTGAAAACCACCATTCTCCAGAGCATTATCCCAATATGTTGAGATTCTGCTTCCTGGCAATTGTCAACAGTTTGGCTCAAATAAATTCACAAAAATTCTTTATGGGTTTGAAAGTTTTTTTATGTTAACATTACTTGGCGTAGTTGGCAGGATTCCAGACTCTCACCCAGGACCATCCCGCAGAGACCTGGACCCGATGCTAGGATCCAGCAAGGGGCCCATTGAGCCTGCCAATTCCCCCCCCCTCCCCTCCAATTGGGTGAACTTGGGTGAGTTGTCTTTTGGACCCAGGACCTTCCCTTGCTTTGGTAGACGGTCTGACTTTATTTGAGCTGTATTTTTAAATCCTTGAGGTGGAACTAAGGTTAGGGGTTGACTGAACTCAGGCTAAGGTGAGCCTGGAGGGAAAAAATGGGTGGCTGGTTTTGATTTTGGCTTTTCAATTGGAATTGCTTTCTGAGTCTGAGCAAAAGACAACCTTTGCCGTATAAATGAGCTGAACTCATTCAGCTCCGAAGATAAAGGGGCACATCCTCCCTCCAGCCCGATTCTCGGGTGTTCTTAGGTGACTAAGAATCTTTGTGGAGGTGTCAGAGGTCATTCTTCAGGACGTGCAGGAGCCCCACAGGGAAGTCCTAACTCAATTGTAATTAACTAACTGGCTCGTCCAGGGGGCCCCCATAAGGCTCGATCTGCCAGGGCCCCAAGCCTTTCCTGTTGTTTTGGACAGCTGGGAGAGAAACTGAGGCACGTAAAAGGGTTGAGTTGTGACTCGAGGTCAAATTGGCCCCAAATCACCTGATAGGGAGAGATTTTTAAAATCAGTGTTGCCCACATGTTTTTTTGAGAAGAGTAATATGTATTTAGAACTAAGTGAACCAGATACTGAGCCAAAAGGGGAAAATGATGTTCACAAATTGACGCTGCTCAAACCTTGCTCTTATAATCACCTAATTGTTATTGATTGAATGTATATAAAATGATTTTTATGTTGTTACTAGAGGCCCGGTGCATGAAAATTCATGCACTGGGGGGCAGGGGAGGCCTGCCCCCTCTCACAGTCCAGGAGCCCTCAGGGGATATCTGACTGATGGCTCAGGCCCACTCCCCATGGACATCTCTGTGGGAGCGCACTGACCACCAGGGGACAGCTCTGGCCCCGCCTCCCATTGCCCCGCTGCCACCAGTTGCCGCCACCCCCTAATCACCGTCTCCTCCCTCTGCTGGCTGGCACCCTCCTTGGCTGGCCTGGTGCCACCCATTCGCTGACCTGTTGTTCTGCCGTTCAGTTGATTTGCATATTAGGCTTTTATTATATAGGATTATCCTCCTTATGGTTTCCTAGTGGAAACAATATCCACCTCCCTAGACCTTCCTCCCTTATTAGATATGAAAAACATTAAACTTGGATATCTCCTAATCTTTCCCACCTACTAGAAAATAATATTCTGATTATCAGCTATGATAATGAAGCTAATGTTTTTTTGGCCACACACTGGTCTTCTATCAATATAAGCATTGGTACATTTTTTTTCCTGGCTATATCTATTATAAAGGACCTATATTGAACAAACCCCTCCAAGAACACCTCCCTAAGAACACCTATTTTAGATGAGTATTATCTAAATATAGGAATAGATCAGTGGTCGGTAAACTGCGGCTCGCAAGCCACATGCGGCTCTTTGGCCCCTTGAGTGTGGCTCTTCCACAAAATACCGACTTCTGCGCATGGGCCATGAAGTTTCAATCGCACTGTACGTGCGCCCACACGTGATATTTTGTGGAAGAGCCACACTCAAGGGGCCAAAGAGTCGCATGTGGCTCGAGAGCCACAGTTTGCCGATCACTGGAATAGATGAAACTAACTGCCTAGAAGAAAAATTAAAATTTCTGAATAATAAAATAGTAGAAGTCTTAATTCATCTGGCTAAACATATCATAAGATAAAAGTGAAAGTGGATGAAGGAGGAAACATATAATTAACTTAATAAACAATTAATGCTTGTTCCCCTCAGATCCTGCCAGGACAGGAGACCACAAATTCCTTCATAATAACTGTTATCTTGTTAATTGTTGACTGTTAACTATCCTGTACTCACCTATGTAAAAGAAGTGTCTATCATTTTTACTTTTTATCCAATCCCAGAGTTTTGCCCGCTTTGCTTCCTCCCACCTCCCTAATCCATCACCAGTGGATTTCATGTAACCCACTTACATCTCCTTTGATTGTAATTTATAAAGCAAGGTGCAAACTGCCATTCTCTGGAGCATTATCCCAATCCATTGAGATTCTGCTTCCCGGCAATTGTCGACAGTTTGGCTCAAATACAGTGGGGCCTTGACTTATGAGTTTATTTCGTTCCGAGACCGAGCTCGTTAAGAAGCTCGTTAACTCAAATCACTCTGTCAACTCAATGCAAAAAACCCGCCGAGAGTCAGCTGGTATCTCAAAAAACTCGTTAGTCGGGACACTTGTAAGTCAAGGCCCCACTGTACTCACAAAAATGCTTTACAGCTTGGAATGTTGTTGTTTTTTGTTTGTTTGTTTGTTTTACGTTAACATGGTTAACAGCACATGGTTAATATTTCTGCCCCTCACAGTGTGGCTTGTAGAATGTTATTATAATGCAAATTTTTATTCTCCCATAATTTCTTTGTAATTTTTTCTGGAGGTTTTTATTCTTCCCCTGTCCCTGAATAAAAACTGGCACCGGCCTCAAAAATTTCTGGCCAAGTTTAGGTTAAAAGCCCAATGCTATGGTTGCTTTTAAGTCACTAAACAGTCTCAATTTATTAATTGAAATGTCCAGTCCCAGTTAATAAAATTTCAGAACCTGAGTTAAGGTTGAGGCTTCTCCAGGCTTCTAGTGGAATCTGCTACGGATGGGAAACCCACTGTCAGAGAAGGAGGCATACGTGGGATCTTTGCTGGCTTGGGGTGGGGTTGGGGGTGCGGGGCATTCCTAGGCAGCAGGCAGTCTCAGCAAAGGTAGGAAGCAGCACCGTTTGCTCAGGATTGCCCATGCTGTTCAGTGTGGTTGAGATAGCATAGACCAAAGAGATCGTGCTGGAATCATCTCTTGATATAATTGCCCCCCCCCCCCCCGACCAGAGAGTGAACCCCCTGAGGATAGGGACCATGCACTGAATCCTCTGGGCCAGCTGTGTGCCTGCTTCCCAGGAGGCCAGCTCTAAGCTTCTGCTGAATGAGTAATAATTCCAAGCTGGTTGGCTGGGTAGATAGAGCGTTGGCCCGAGATAGAGCATTGGTCGTGGGTTGGTTCAGGTCAAGGGCACATACCTTGGTTGCAGGCCCTAGTGGGGGCACATTCGGGAGGCAACCAATCGATGTGTCTCTCTCATATCGATGTTTCTCTGTCTCTACCTCTCCCACTCTCTCTAAAAATCAATGGAAAAATATCTGTGGGTGAGGATTAACAAAACAAAAAAGAAGAAGAAAGAGTGATAATAGCAGGCAAACTGATGTCTCTCTTTTGTTGGAGTTTTTATTGCTTTCTAATAATGGGGGAGGCCAGGAGGTGGTGATTATTTCTTGGCTACCGGTTGTGTGTGTGGGGATCCTCTTCTTATCACTACACTCAGGAGCTGATTTGGAGGTGAGAACTCTTGCTGTCACTGCATGATGAGCAGCACAGGTGCCTCCCACACACTTCCTCCAGGATTCCCCCCAAAAGCAAAGGTTACCAAGAGCTGCAACCCAAACTTCTTTCCACTTCCCGGAATGAGCCTGTCCCTCTGTTCATCCTGCTCCTCTAGGGGGTGGGGCTTAACACGAGCATCGAGGGCAGTGATGGCGAACCTAT